CCCCAAAACCCCAAAACCCCAAAACCCCAAAACCCCAAAACCCCAAAACCCCGATTTTTAAGAAAAAAATTGAATTAAGATGAAATATAATATTAATGGAAGATACACAAGTTAGCACAGATGATCAAACGTTTGGATGCAAGCATTACAAACGAAAGTGAGCCCTTCAGTGTTCTGAATGTAAGGAATTCCACATCTGTCGTTTCTGTCACGATGATATCCATGAGCACAACATCAAAGATCTTAAAAAGTAGCATAAAATAGACAGGCATAATATTGAAGCGGTGAAATGTCTTGAATGAGAACACGTCCAAAAGCCTGATCAGACTTGTGAGAACTGTGGAATCGAATTTGCTAAATATTTTTGTCCTAAATGCAACCTTTTTGATGAAGAAGGCGAAACTGTTGGATTATTTCATTGTGACGACTGTGGAATCTGCAGACAAGGAGGTAGAGAAAATGCTTATCATTGCAAAGAATGAGATATCTGCATGTATCTGAGTATGAAAGATTTGCATCAATGTGCAAATTATAGAGATACCCAGTGACCAATCTGTTTTGAAAATTTTTACGGAGTCAGAGATGGTAGTTGACGTCTAGAATGCGGTCATGTTCTTCATTCTGAATGTTATGATGAATACTTTAAAAATAGTATATCTTGTCCAATTTGTAAGAAGTTTCCCTACCCTGACTCTATTAAAGAACTGATATATTCAAGTATCGAGCAGCAAATTGAAGATACTGCAATGGGTGAGGAGTTAAGCAACCGCAAAGATGACATAATTTGCAACGACTGAAATCAATACTCCAGTGCAAGTTTTAACATTATTGCTCTGAAATGTTTGCATTGTGGTGGGTATAACACCTCTCGAGTGAAGTCCTAAATTTAAGAGGTCATAAACGTCCTCGCTCAGTTATTCAATCACATTGACGCTTCATGGGGTTTTGGGGTTTTGGGGTTTTGGGGTTTTGGGGTTTTGGGGTTTTGGGGTTTTGGGGTTTTGGGG